GCCCCGCGTGAGCTTCCCCTCCACCTGGGGGTGCCTGAGCCTTGTCCCCAAAGGGAAGCCAGGTGACCTGCTTCTATACCAACCCTGCGTGGACCTTGCTCCTCCTGGCCCCACTCAGTCTTCACGCTGGTTCAGTGCAGTGGCTGGAGGAAGTCAGCTAATACCAGCCCAAAGCCTGTGAAAGCCCAGGTCTCTCACAGCCTCTGAGCCTGGGACTTTTTGTTAAGGGAGGTTATGGCATCTATCGCCATCTCAGTTTCTTTCAATGTTAATAAATTAAATAATTACTTTCCTAAGAGATAAACCAAGGAAGAGATGAGCCAAAGAACTTATATACTTACTAGAGGCCTGGTGCACAAAGATTCATGCAATAGGCCTTCCTTGCCCTGGCTGCTGGCACTGTTTCTCTGGTACCTAGGACCCAGGCCTTCACTCTGGCCTCAGCAGAGAAGCCAAGCTTCTTCAGTCTTCAGTCTTCAGTTTTCAGTCTTCACTCTGGCTGGAGCCTTCAGTCTTCACTCCATGCCTATGTATGCAAATTAGCCTGCCATCTTTGGTGTGTTAATGTGCATACTCACTCCTGACTGGCTGGTGAGCTTTCATGAAGGTACGGTCAATTTGCATCTTTCTATTTTATTAATGTAGACATGCATAGCTCATGGACTCAGGCAATAGGATAGTGAAGACCTGGGGGAGAATGGAGGAGTTGGGAGGAGTGAGGCTAGGGGAGAAAAATGAGAAACATCTGTAATACTAACAACAATAAAACTATATTTAAAAATACTTTCCTCATCAGGAAGGCCTTTTTAAAAAAGATATATTCTTATTGATTTCAGGGAGGAAGAAAAAGGGAAAGAGAAAGAGAAACATCAATGATGGGAGAGAATCATTGATTGGCTTCCTCCTGCACATCTCCTACTGGGGATCGAGCCCCCAATGCTCAGTCAAACCCAGGACCCTTCAGTCTGCAGGCCTTTCTGATTATGACACAAAACCTAGAAGCCATAAAATAGAAGCTTGATAAATTCAACTCCAAACAAAAATTTTTTTTGACTTATGAATGCAGAAGCTATCATAAACAAAACCAAAGGACAAACAACAAACTTGGAGGAGTATTTATGGTTAATATCAAGACATACAGCAAATTTCCCTAACATATAAAGAGCTCCTATCAATCAATAAATTTTATTGAGCTCCAATAAAGAACTCCTACCAATCAATACTCTTTTTTATTGAGGGTGAGCTGCAATCCTCAATAGAAAAAAAGTAAGCAAAGACTATCAACAGACAAATCACAGAGAAATAAAATTCAAATGACCTTTTTTTTTTTTAGAAATATATTTTTATTGATTTCAAAGGAGAAGGGAGAGGAAGAGATAGATAGAAACATCAATGGTGAGAGAGAATCATAGATCGGCCACAGCCTGGGCATGTGCCCTTGATCAGAATCCAGGGCCCTCAGTTCACAAACCAACGCTCTATCCATTGATCCAAACCAGCTAGGGTGATATTCAAATGACTCTTAAACATTTGAAAAGATGCCCAACCTCACCTGCAATAAGAGAATTGCACATTTAAATTAGCACTGACATATCACTTTCACGTATCAGATTGGCCAGGATCAAACATTACTTGGCAAAGATGTGTATAAACAGCACTCAGGTCTTCCTGCTGAGCATGGAAATTGGAACTAAACCCTCTGAGAACAACTTAGCAGCAGCTATTGAAATTATAAGTGCACATTCCCTCTGTCCCAGCAACTCCACTTTGTTCTTATAGTTTCTGCATTTAAAACCCCCTAACCGTGCCCAGCCAGCATGGCTCAACAGTTGAGCATTGACCTGTGTATGAATCAGGAGGTCACTGCTGGATTCCCAGTCAGGGCACATGCTCGGGTTGTGGACTCCATCCCCAGTGTGGGGTGTGCAGGAGGCAGTCGATTTATGATTCTCTCTCATCATTGATGTTTCTCTCTCCCTCCCCCTCACCCTTCCCCTCTGAAATCAATAAAAATAAATTTTGGAAAAAGAAATATCTTCTGTTTAAAAAAATAAACAAATAAAACCACCTACCCATATTAGTTATTCAAAAGTAAGTTGAAATGAATTTAAAAGCCTCCTCCCCCGCCTCCCCAGGGAAGTGAGTGTTTGCAGAGTGAATGCGTGGCTCCTGTGACTCAGCCTCTGGGGGTTCAGCTTCTTCCTAGGCCACACGTGATAGTTGGTGAGAATTTTTTGAGCATTTAACAACTTTGAATAGTTTTTAGATGTTGTCACTTACTGTCTGAGGTCTATCCCAATGGCTGGTTCCATTGTTAGGAAAAGGAGGAAAAAACACTGAGACCGAAGCATAAGAATCCAATAGTTATGCAATTGCTCATTGTCAGGCCCCTCACTTGCATTCATCTGATCAAAATTATTTTAAAGCACAACAAGGTGTCTTGTATCCTTCAAAGATACTATTAAAGCAAAACAAAAAGGGCATATTCTTTCCAATTTGGCTTTGCTTTTACTGGAAACTAGTGATCCAGTGCATGAAATTCATGCACATTAAAAGGGGATAAATTAGAGGAAATAATTTAATATTGCTATTTGCCCTTTTTCTCTATAATGGAAGTGTCAGAGATGAAAGAAAATTAGTAAAATGTATATGAAAACCTTCCTCCTGTCAGAGTCTGGGGCACATCATGGGACACAGAGTCAAGTCCCCACCTCCCCACATGCACCTCAAAATTGCATGAGACCCAGATCCTGCCATCCCTCTCCCCCCAATTGGGCTAGATCCAAACCCAGCAAGTCCCACTCTTGTCAAGCCCTGCTGGGCAGGGGGCATAGCCTCAGGTTCCCTGGACTGGTGCCAGGACCGGGGGCTTGGCCTGAGGTCCCCCAGTCCAGACCAGGGCAGGGGTATGCCTTGAGGTTCCCCGCCAGGTGGGGTACACAGCCTGAGATCCCCTGCCAAGCCCCACTGGGTGGGGGGCATGGCCTGAGGTCCCCCATCACCTGGTGGGGCTGAGCCTCAGGTCCCCCAGCCCAGTACTGGGCAGGGGCATGGCCTGAGTTCCCTGGCCTGGTGCCAGGGCATGGCCTAAAGTCCCTTGTTAAGCCCCATCAGGTGGGGGGTGTGGCCTGTGGTCCCCTAACCCAGGACAAGGATGGGAAGCACACCTTGAGGTCCCCTGTCAAACCCTGCCAGGTGGGGGGCATGACCTGAGGTCCCCTGTCAAGCCCCATGGGGGTGGGGAAGGGCTTAGCCTTAGGTTCTTGCTGATTTCTTGTTAAGGCTCCTTATGGGAACTTGGTCTCAGCTGTGGGTACAGCCATCTTTGTGATGGAGTGATGGTCAATGTGCAGATTCCCTCTTTATTATACAGGCGGTAGCCTATGCACAGCTATACCAGATTGTGCAGAGACATTAAGAAAGTGTCTTTCTGCCCAGCTGGCATGGCTCAGCGGTGGAGCATCTACCTATGAACCAGGAGGTCACAGTTTAATTCCCAGTCAGGGCACATGCCTGAGTTGTGGGCTCAATCCTCAGTGGGGGGGCATTCAGGAGGCAGCCAATCAATGATTCTCTCATCATCGATGTTTCTATCTCTCTCTCCCTCTCCTTTCCTCTCTGAAGTCAATAAAAATGTATTTTTTAAAAAGAAAACATTGCTCTCATCACTTAGAAATGACACTAGCCAGGGGTGAGCAGGACCCACTGATTTCCCATAAAGTGGAATTGTACGGATTCCACACATCGCGTCCTGAAACAGTTCTTGACAATTGTTGATGTTCTAATGTATAAATCAACATCAATCCACTTTAAAACACTTTCAATCCTTAGTTTAAACATGATATAATGTGTCATTTTTAATTTTTCCAACAAATAATGTTTTTTCTTAAGTAATAAGTAGTGGTTATACTGGAAAAACTCAAAATGAGCTTTACACTTTATAAATGTCTCATTAAAATAAACTATATAATATAATTTTAATAACTTTTAAGATACATATTTTTAACTGAAAAATACTTGTCATATTTGAAAAGTGGCAAAATGACCTTTCTAAAAGATTTTGGGCAATTCCCAATATTATGGATTAGTGTTGAAAGTGTCAGAAACTTTTGAATGATTGTGAAACCCTAACTATGCTACAACTGTGATATTCCTGGCGTCCAAGACTTACAGCTAGAATGTCATCAGCATGTGAGGCTGTCCAAATGCTGATACAAGAAGCCAACCCAGGACGTAGTTAAACATTCTCTTGTACTATTCCCTGCCTTCAGCAATTTGTAAATGCTCATGATCTCACTTTAGACTTGCAAAGCTTCTAGATCTATCTATATATCCATCCATCCATCCATCCATCCATCCATCCATCTAATTATTCCCACTTCACAGATGAGGCCCAGAAAGGCTTCTCTCACTTGCCTAAGGCACACAGGTGTCAAGGCCAGGCCTACAGTCGTGTCCATGCCGAGCCCCAGCTTCCCCCTTCATCTCCTCATGCTCCTTGCATTCTGAGGACAAACATGGCACTTTAATGCTAAAAGTAGCTCAGAGCAGTGGTGGATGGGGTCTAGGAGACAGGCCAACGCCAAAGGGTTGTTATTTGTAGGGAGTGGGAGCTGGACAGAGGCCCTGGGCAGAGGGCACTGAAGTCCATCCACATCAGCAGCTCTGCTCTGCAGAGGGCAGTCCTCAGAGCCTGGTGGGGCCAATGCCCCCAGAGCATCGCCTGACTTGGCTCTAGTTAATGTTTAAGCACTGGGGATCGTGGTGAGCACTAAGTCTTGTGCAAGAAGCATGAAAACGGAGACTTTACCCCGCGAGTGGGTAGCCACCCTCACCTCCATCATGATTCTCAGAGGTCAGGAAGGGGCTGCCTCTGTCAGGCAGATGAGGCCCCACCTCAGGAGTCCTGCCCTGAGCCCTCCTCTGAAAGAGGGAGGGCAAGAGACTCTCAGGTCCCCTCCCTCATCTTCACTGAGGTCAGTTAAATCCGGACTGGGCATTGATAGGTTGGGCTGATTCTTCTGGGGGGAATCCAACTCTTATGGGGGTGCAGCTGTCCGACCTTTATCCCTTCCCTTCTTTTTGCCACTTCACGGGCAGGGAACTACGGATCCCTGAAAGTTGGAATGTCCCCTGCCCAAGCCAGAGGGAAATAGTAAAAGCTCATATGGCTGAGTCATAAGAGAGGCTCCAAGCAGGACTGACAGCCACGGCCTGCTTTCCTCTGGGCAGAGGTTCTGGGCCTCCCAAATGGGACTGCTCTCACCTGGGCCACTTGTCTAAAACCAGCAGCACCACCTGCATCGCCATCACCTTCATCACCACCACCATTGGAAAGCTGAGCAGGTGGAGTTTCATTCCCGGTACCCTGCCCACCCATGTTCAGAACCAGTTCCTTTGGGGGCCAGGGGAGCTCTGAACCCCATATTGAGGCTGCTGGTTGCCATCTCATGTCCGCCCTCCTCTTCTTCCCTCTATACCGCTGTTTGTTGGAAGTGACAAACGTTTTCCATACTCCTTTTAGAGCAGGGTGGCTGATGCTACATCTTTGGGGCTGGGGCAGGCTGGCGTTCAGAGGCAATAAAGGATCCTGATTGAGCTAACGGGTGCCTTTGCCCTCTCACAATCCTTCCAGGTGCCATCTTAGACTATGAGATAGCCCTAAAGATGAAAACCCATGCAAAGGATGGAGAAACAGAAAGCTGGAAGGAGCCCAGCCAGTGTGGCTCAGTGGTTGAGTGTCCACCTATGAACCAGGAAGTCACAGTTTGACTCCTGGTCAGGGCACATGCCTGAGTTTTAGACTTGATCCCCATTTAGGGGTGCACAGGAGACAGCTGATCAATGATTCTTATCATTGATGTTTCTCTCTCTCTCCCCCTCTCCCTTTATCTCTGAAATCAATAAAAACATGTGTTTTTTTTTTAAAAGGAAGCTGTCCCTAGCTGGTTTGGCTCAGTGAATAGAGCATTGGTCTTCAGACCAAAGGGTGCCAGGTTCAATTCCAGTCAAGGGCTTGTATCTTGCTTGCGGGTTCCTCCCCAGCCCGGGCCCTAGTTGGGGTTTGTACAGAGGCAACCAATCCATATGTTTTTCTCACATTGATGTTTCTCTCTGTCTTTCACTTTCTCTCCCACTCTTTCTAAAAATCAATGGAAAAATATCCTCAGGTAAGGAGAAAGAGAGAGAGAGAGAGAAAGAAAGAAAGGGAAGGAGGGAGGGAGGAAGGGAGGGAGGAAAGGAAGGACGAAGGGAGGAAGGGAGGGAGGAGCCTGGGACATGGTTACAACACAACTTCGTGGAGTTGTCAGAGCAACTCTGGACTGGCTTGTCCACGGACTTTTTTTTACTGAGGAAGCAAAGCTCTACCTCATGAAGTTGCTGTCTTCTTTTTTTCTTTAAAGAATATTTTATTGATTTTTAGAGAGTGAGGAAAGGAGAGGAGAGAAACATCAATGTGAGAGTGTAACATCCATCGGCTCCTACTGCATGCCCCATACTGAGGATTGAGTCTGCAATCCGGGCATGTTCCTGACCAGGAATTGAACTGGTGACCATTAGATGAACAGAATGACACACAACTACTGAGCAGTACCAGCCAGGCAAGATGTTACCATTTTGAGTCTCTCCTACTAGCAACCAAATGCAATTCTTAATTAAAATTTAGGAATTGGCCCAACCAGCATGGCTCAGTGGTTGAGTGTCGACTCAACCAGGAGGTCCAGTTCGATTCCTGGTCAGAGCATGTTTCTGGGTTGGGGGCTCAATCCCCAATGGGGGACATGCAGGAGACAGCCAATCAATGAGTCTCTCTCATCATTGATGTTTCTATCCCTCTCTCCCTCTCCCTTCCTCTCTAAAATCAATAAAAAAAAATTTTAAAGTAAATTTAGGAATTGAGCTTCTCTATAGGTCCCTCTGAGCCACCACAGGGTGCCATCCCCTGAGGGTCTCAGCCATGAGGGATGATGTCACATGTCATTGTCTTTGGGCAGCAATGGGAGGGACTTGGGCTGGGAGCAGTGTAGAACGTGGTCACATACTTGAACTTGAGACACCATCTACCATCATGGCATCCCTGACAGAAGGGAGAGCCCTCATCGCTGTGTTATCAGAAACAAAGCAAAAGGCTTTGGAGCCAAGGTTGACTTCTCATCCCAGATCCATAAATCTCAGCTCCTGTGGCTTGCTCACTCTTCCAGAGGCTTCCGGGCTGACCAGAACCAGCTGGCCGCCTCCCCAGGTATCACCCCTACCCCCTGGCATCAGTCCAATGCATTTGACCCTGTTTCCTGCATCACATCTTCTGGGCACAGGTCTGGCCTCAGCCCCTGTGGTGGGCCCTCCTGTGTAAGCCCAGATCATGCCTCCTTGAGGCAGCTGCTTTCTCCCCCCGACTCTCCCCAACATCCCAGCAGCTTTTTTTGGTCCAGCTCACAGCCTGGAAGTGCAGGGGGCACCTACGATCAGGTGGAGATCCGCCCTTTAGGAAAGAGCCCGCCCCCTTCTCAGGATGTCCCTGCCTACAGCAGTGGCCCTGCTGCCGCATCTCAGATAGGGCCCTTCCTCTTTCCCTCTCTCAGTCTCCTTGTTCCCTCCCTCTTGCTGCCCGGGACCACCTCTCAAATAAGCTATGTGCCCAAATCTGTGTCTCAGGCTCTGCTTCCAGCGGCCCCTGAACAACTCTGCCTCTCACCACCTTGCTCAGCTCACCCTGACATGACGTCCAATACACATTCCTGTTTCCTGCCTGAGGTCATGAGCCCTGCGGACCCCAGACAGACGGAGTCGGTGGGTTCTGGGAGCAGAAGTTCCCTGAGAAGATGGGTGGTGTTTGTTCCCTGGAAAGCGTGGCAGACTGTCAGTTACACAATATATCTCAAGGGCTTTTAGATGACGATGATGATGATGATGATGACGACGACGATGGCAATGACCACAATGATAGTGGTGATGACCACAATGATGGTGACGCTGAGAATGCTGCTGCTAACAATCCGATAAGCTGCTGGAAAACAACCTGGATCAACATTTTCCCTGGGAATCACTCAGCTGCCTCTAGATGAGTGTCTGAAGGGCAAACTATCCAAACTACCAGATCTTTCACAGCCATTAGCCACCTCCATGGAGAGCAATTATTCTCCCTCCACACTTACACATCCACATCCTCTTTTTTAAAATATATTTTATTGACTTTTTTTTTTTTACAGAGAGGAAGGGAGAGAGATAGAGAGCTAGAAATGTCAATGAGAGAGAAACATCAACCAGCTGCCTCTTGCACACCCCCCACCAGGGATGTGCCCGCAACCAATGTACATGCCCTTGACCAGAATCGAACCCGGGACCACATCCACGTCCTCTTGAACGCAACAATTTCGTTGAGCTGTCCTGTAGATCAGTGGTCGGCAAACTCCTTAGTCAACAGAGCCAAATATCAACAGAACGATTGAAATTTCTTTTAAGAACCAAAAACCTACTTCTGCGCATGGGCCACGAAGTTTCAGTCGCATTGAATGTGTGCGCCTGCATGTGGTATTTTGTGGAAGAGCCACACTCAAGGGGCCAAAGAGCCTCATGTGGCTCAAGAGCCACGGTTTGCCCACCACTGCTATAGATCATACATGCCGCAAGTGACATGGGGATAAGATAATTCATGGAAGCCTCGCTAGCATTAGCGAAGAGTTGGAAACAACCTAAATGTCCCCAGGAGAGCCCTGGTTCAAGAAATGACGATCTGTCTAAACAATGAATTTACACAGCTGTGTAGGAAAATGGGACAGTCTGCATGTGATGACAGAATTATCTTCAAGACATATTACGAAGCGGAGGAAAACGGAGCAGAACAGGGTGAAAAGAAGAGGGGGTGTGGGTGGCTAAGGACAGGCGTGAGAGAGACTGGCTTTTGGATCATGTGGATATATTACTTTTTTGAAAAAGCAAATAAAAACAACCGTTAAACACCAAACTCGGAGATCTTTTATAGCCATATTTTATTGCACAGATCCTTTATTGCACAGATTGTTATCGAGGGCCTGCTGAGTGCTGGGCAGGGTGTCTCCAATGAGCAGCACAAAGAAAAAGACCTTCAGGAATGCCTTATATGGGGTGGTAGGTGGGCACGGAGGAGACTAGAAGTGAGTCAGCAATTATAACTCATCCGTCCATGCCAAACATGGGTTAAGTACAGATGCTGTGGGTACATCAAAGTAGGGCAACTGACGCAGATACAGGGTCCGGGAAGGCTTCCTGGAGGCGGCGCTTCAGCCTTGACCTGTGAGTAGCAGGCAGCCAGAGGGGAAAAGGGGAAAGGGAATTCTGGGAAGGGAGAGCTGCTAGAACAAAAGTTGGGAGGTGTGGTCCAGCCTGACAGGTGGGAACTTGCAGGGGGCTTTGAAAAGATGGCTGAGTTCATGCTCCGAGGGAGGAGTCTTCATAAAAACCTAGAAGTGTGTGTCTCTTTCACGGAGAAGCCAAATCAACACTGGGGAGAGGGTGCCAGTTCTGGGCTTCGGATGGCTCCTCTTCACCTCCCTCCAACCTCCTCAACCCAGAAACTGGGCTGGAATCGGCCTGGCTGTTAGAGGCTGGTCCCGGACATGGCCTGTGACCAACACATCACCTCTCTCCTACCTGGACGTCACACTCAATCAATCAGCACACGTTCCCTGAGGAACCACCAGGCCCGACAGTGCTGAGGGGCACAGGACAAGTTTAAGATAGAGTCTGTGGAGGAGAAAGAATTTACACACACAATGACCTAAAAACAGGACAACTCAATATATGACTTTGTCTTTAAAAGCCTGGTCTCAAACAAATACCTTATGCTGATGTTCATAGAAGCATCATTCCCAATAACCAAAAGGGAGAAACAACCCGAGTGTCATCAGCAGATGAATGAGCCCTAACCGGTTTGGCTCAGTGGATAGAGCATTGGCCTGTGGACTGAATGGTCCCGGGTTCGATTCCAGTCAAAAGCATGTACCTTGGTTGCAGACTCATCCCCAGTGGGGGGTGTGCAGGAGGCAGCTGATTGATGTTTCTCTCTCATTGATGTTTCTAACTCTCTATTCCTCTCTCTTCCTCTCTGTGAAAAATCAATAAATTTTTTTAAAATGAATGAATAAGCAAGATGTGCTCTATCCATACAATGGAATAGCCCTCAGCCATAATAAGAAATGAAATTCTGATACTGGCTACAACTGTATCAAATGAACCTTGAAGACATTATGCTAAGCAAACAAAGACAGACATGCAAGGACAAACACTGGGTGATTCTCTTTATGTGGAATATGTAGAATAAATATAGAGACAAGATGATAGAAATGGAAAATTAATCCGAGGCTCAGGGAAGAATGGCAGTTATTGCATAGAAACAGGTACAGAGTTTCTGCTTGGGTGATGAAAAAATTTAGTGATAGTGATAATGGTTCTGCAACACAGTGAATGCAATTAATGGCACTGAACTGTACACTTAAAAAATGGTTAAATAGCAAACTTGATATATCGGGTCTAGTAATAATTAATGTCGTTTTTAAACATTCGTTTAAAATCTTGCTTGGCGTTGACTTGTATTGACATAACCTTCAAACACGTGGTATCTACAGAACGTGTGAAGTGCAATTAACAAGTTTTGCTTGAAAAAAGTTTATGTTTGGTTTGGTTTTTGTTGCAAAACTAGGGCTAAGAAGATGGCAGATGAAGAGCATATTCGGCACTGCATGCTTTACAAGTTTCAATTAGGAAGAAAAGCAAGTGAGGCTGCAAAAAACATCTGTAGTGCTCTTGGTCAAGATGCAGTTAGCGCCAGAAAATGCCAGCGTTGGTTTGAGAAATTTCGTGAGGGAAATTTTTTGTTAGATGACAAGAGTGGTTGAGGCCGTGTGTCCAATTTTGATCAAGAAGCTCTTCAAGCTCTTTTGGTGCAAAATCCTCAAATTACCCAACAAGAGCTTGCGACAACTTTAAATTGTTCACAAAAAACAATTTCCAATCAATTGCGTGCACTTGGCAAAGTCCAAAAGTTTGGAAAATGGGTTCCTCATGAGTTGACTGACAACAACTGTAATCAAAGAGTCACAATTTGCAGTTCGCTCCTCTCTAGTCAAAACCGTTTGCCATTTTTAGAGCAAATTGTTACCGGATATGAAAAGTGGGTGCTGTATGTTAATTTGAAAAGGCGGCCTCAATGGTTGGACAAAAATGAGGCTCCGCAGCCCACGCCAAAACCTGACTTGCATGCGAAAAAAGTGATGTGTGTTTGGTGGAATTTTAAAGGAATTCTTCATTATGAACTTTTACCATCTAACCAAACCATTACAAGTGCAGTGTATAGTGCCCAATTGGAAAGGTTAGCCCAAGCTTTAAGAGAAAAAGAACCCGCACTGATTAATCGGAAGGGCGTAATTCTTCACCACGATAACGCACGACAGCATACTGCAAGAATCACTGCTGAAAAACTGCGCCAGTTGGAATGGGAAGTTCTCCCTCAACATGCATATTCTCCTGATACTGCCCCTTCCGATTACCATTTGTTTCGTTCTTTGCAAAACTTTCTTCTTGGAAAAAAATTTAGTAATGAAGAATGCCTCAAAAATGCATTGACCGAATTTTTTGCATCAAAATCACAAGAATTTTACAACAGAGGGATTAAAATGCTTCCTGAGGGTTGGGCACAAGTAGTAGAAAACAACGGCAACTATATTGTTGATTAAATTTTGTTGTATTGTTTAAATAAATTCGATTTAAAAAAGTATTAGAAAACGACATTAATTATTACTAGACCTTATATGTATTTTAACACTAAAAAAAAAAGGTTTTAATATTATGGCTCAGGAAGGGGAGATAGTGTGATCTCATCCCATTTAGGAGGGCTTCCTGAAGAAGGTGACATTTGAAAAAGGCTGGGAACATGTGAGCAAATAGAAGCAAATAGAAGGAAAAGCACTTTTATGAAAAATGGGGAGGGAGGGAGAAGGACCCCAAAAAGGATGGGTCCACTCGCCTCTCTTGGACCAGGTGGAGGGTGACAAAGAATCATGAGGGTCAGGGAGGGGGTTGAGGTGGGAGGGGACCTTTGGATTCATGATGCTCATAGCATACAAATACTACAGGGAAAGACCAAACACTCTAGGAAGCTGTTACTAAATTCCATTTTACTGATGCATAGACTGAGGCTCAGCTGCTCAAGATGGTGCAGCTCGTAAGTGGCACCCGTGGATTTGGTCTGGGATCATATGGCCCTAACGCAGTGGCTCTCAGCCCTGGCTACACATCAGGGTGCCCTGGAGAGCTTCAAGCCAACACTGCCAGCGTAGCATCCCCTGAGGTTCCCTGCTCTTTGCCTGGGGTGGGTTTGAGCATTAGTCTTTCTGAGAAGCGTCCCCGGGATTGAGTGTGCAGACAGGAATAAGAACCCCTACACTAAGGCCCAGCACATTTCATTCCCTCAGCTTGTGGGGTGACTTGCTGTCAACCTCAGGCAAGATGCTCAGCTTCTTTGAGCCGCTCCTGTGAAATGGGTAAGAAATGCTTCCCCTGCCCCCTGCACAGGCCTGAATGACAGTGAGGGCTGTCTGTTTCCCTCTGCCTCTTGGTCTCCTCTCTTCACAGAGGGATCAGCACACCGCGCAGAGGGAGTGAGGCCGTGCGGGCAGAGGCTGCGCAGAAGCGCTGAGGACTCAGCTACGAGGCTGCAGGCCAGGAAGATAAACTGATGTAGCAAATAAGCAAATATATTTGGTGGAAGCAGAGCTTCCATCAGAGAGGTGCTTTACTGACTGGAAAGAAAAAAGCTAGAGAGGATCCTGAGGCTTGGGATTGGAATAAAAAGCATTCATGAAAAGAACTCATGCTTTTAAACTATATTTACACAGATAGATATTGGAACAATATGGGTGTCATTATGTGGTGTATTGTATGTTCATGGTATGTATACAGGAAAAACATTGTTTTTACTGATTTTTTTTTTTTCTTGAGAGAGAGAGAGAGAAACATTGATGTGAGAGGGAAACTTGATCGGTTGCCTCCCGGATGCATCCAGACTGAGGATCAAACCTGAAACCTTCCAGTTTATGGAACAAAGCTCCAACCAACTGAGCCACACCAGCCAGGCCTTTCTTAAATGTAGATGCAATTGACATGTAACATGCTATTCATTTCAGGCGAACA